ATGCACCACTCTGGGCTCTCACGTTGCCCCAGTATTTATTCTGAGCACCCAGAAGGTCTATGGAGAAGAGACTGTGAGTAGATATGAATTTCCCTTGTGTTTGAAGATCACACAAGTTCCATACTGCTAACTAAGCCACATTCAGACTTTAGACAATTATTGACAATTTTGGGGTGAATTCTTCTAACTGATTCTCAAGGGGTCTCCTACCTGCTCCAGAAAGCAAGTGCTTGCGTTCTGTCACTCCTTGGAGGCACTTTACTGTCTCTAGGTTTGGGATTAATCTGTCACCCTATGACCTCAGCTCTCCGAGGAGTTTAATAGCATTTCTAAGTTCGCATATTACTTAGGATGTTTATTGCTTTACATTTGGGAATGATGCCCTTTCTAGCTTTGGCCACCTTCAGTGGAAGCTGGAAGTCTGATATACACAATCTTAAAAATTTCTCAAATATCCTGTAGAGCAGCTGGAGATTTTCAGAGGTGAAGCAACTCTTCTGTGTGCAGGAGATTTGAAGCAGTTCTTTCCTAACCATGCACTCCAGTCCGCTCCACACTGCTGTTCTTACTCCTGTGTAGACTGATGGTGTGTTAACTATTGACTCTCCAAGGCAGAGTTTATATTCCTCTTTTTACCTATTCCTCAATGTAGATTTAGATACTAGTGCAGAAAAATACTGGGTAGGATGAGGGGGAGAATGCTGGTGGAGCAGTTTATCACTGTGGGTACCAGGCCTCCTCTCATCTCTCTCTCAGAAGTTTCAAATTCGGATGCCTGTAGGAGCCAGGCAAGAAACATCAATGAGTAAAGTGTGCTGGGTCTATGTGGGCTCTCATTTTCCTTGACACTCGTGGCCCTGCTTTTGTTAGTGACAGAGGAAAATCTTTCTTTATAAGAGAAACAGCAGTGCAAGCTGAGGATTGGCAGAGTTTTTAAAATTGGAGCATACATTGTGAGGGCTCCTGGACACTCCCTATTGTCTTAGAGCCACCCATGAATATTACCCATCTGCCTTGAGATCACTTCATTCAACATTACCTAAATATTTTTCAAGCACCCACTGCTTCTGAGGCTCTGCTCTTCGTTCCAAGGGTGTAGCAATAACTAAAACGACTCCTTAAAGGAAAGGACATTTTGGTTTGTGGTCTGCAGTAGGGAGGATGGGACCTGTGGGCCTGGAGAGTATTGCTTGAAAAACATGCTGCCGCCACTCACCTCTGGCCAATTGCTGCCAACCGTGAACGCTGACCCTGTGTTGCCAAAGCTTTTAATTTTCCAAGACAAATCAGAAATTGGATTTCTATTTTAAGTGGCAACTTTCTTATTTTTAAACATTGGCTCAACGTTTTAAAAATCACTGTGGAGGTTAAACAAAATGTGTCTGCAGACAGAATCTGGCTTGCGACCTCTGTTAAACACCATCTCTGCCCTTGCTGGTCTGCTTGAGAAGAGAAATGCAATGAAACGACAGCTGTAGCCATGTTAATTCCCTTCTTTGGAAGCAATGAACCGGTCGTCAGAGATTTGGCAATTCCAGGGCTTAATTTGCAATATAAGGCCAACAATTTCAGTGAAAGCCATTTTAAAATCAGCCTTCAAATCAACAAACAACAAAATGACTACACAAATCAGCAGTGCTTATTAACCTGGACTCAAGAGAGTGTGGCCAACAGGTTACTTGCAAGCAGGGGATATTGCAGTTATTAATCTGCTTGCAAGTTGGAGATTGGCTTTTAGAAAACGATCCCTATTGTAGGCCACTTGCATTTCTATAAACATGCTACACTGTCATCCAAACCTGCAGCCGCAGTGTGAGTTTTGCAATGGTGCCCGTTTGTTTATTTATTAAGTCTAGAGTTCTCGATAAAGCCTAAGGTTATTATTATTATTATTTGGTAAATTTATAGTGTTTATAATTTAGTTTTCTTTTTTTTTTTATGCTAGCTACTTTGGACTTTTTTTGTTTTTTGACAGTGAAGGTCTTTTTTTTTTTTTTGAGACAAAGTCTTGCTCTTGCTCTGTCGCCCAGGCTGCAGTGCAGTGGCTCAATCTCGACTCACTGCAACCCCCACCTCCCAGGTTCAAGTGATTCTCCTGCCTCTGCCTCCCGAGTAACTGGGATTACAGGCATGCACCACCATGCCCGGCTAATTTTTGTATTTTTAGTAGAGACGAGGTTTCACCATGTTGGCCAGGCTGGTCTCAAACTCCTGACCTCAGGCAATCCACTCAGCCTCTCAAAGTGCTGGGATTATAGGTGTGAGCCACTGTGCCTGGCCAACAGTGAAGGTCTTATAGATAGTTTAGCAAATGAATCCATTTTCTGATTGGCTTCATATTTTGCCAGTTACTCAAGCCATAGGTTTTTTTGTGTTTTAAAAGGAATGTGGTAGCTGATCATTAATAATCACTAACTTGTTGGAATTATTACATACTGACAGATTCTCCTCATTGTCCTGTGAACTTCTTGTTCTCATTTTCTTCACCACTTTTTGCTCACGTGTTTCTTCCATTTCCCTTTTCCCGTTTGACTGTTTGTCTGTTCCTCAAAGTTCACTCTGCTGCCTGTGCACATATTTACGCGGTCCCTGCATCCTCCGTGCTGATCCAGCTCCTCTGGCCTCTGGAACCCAGCCTCATACCTCTTCTTTATCCCCACCACTTGCCAGAACTCCTTAGCAGCTGAAAGGCTGTTTTCCACCTTTTAACAATTCTTTCCCACTTTTGAGGTCTTTGAACTAAGCCCTGAGGAGTTGCACGGGAGACACATTTTCATGTGTCAGTGTATCCATTACGGCCAACAGCTTGCCAAATCTGTTCATGCTCTAAAGCCAGGTCACATGTTTACTGATTTTCCTTGGCTCAGGATGGGTCCTTTGCTTTTCATAACCCATGTTCTGCTGGTTGTCCCCCATTTGTGAGGGTCTGACTACAACCCCCAAATTCTAGCGCATACAAACTCAGTGACTGACATGCTTTATTGAAATAACGCTTAATAGAACCTGTCAGAGATTCCTAAGTGAGGAGGCACCCTGGGCCACTCCCGTTGTTCCTGAGACCGGGCAATAGACAGCTGTATGCCTCCCCGGGTGACAGCAGCTTTTTAAAATGGTACAACACTCACTTCTCTCAGGCTGCCTTCTGGATTCAACTCTACATTTTGTCTGAGATAATGAGGAATTTTGATCTTATTTTACAATTATATTGGGTCTTACTCTACTGAGACTGTATTCTGAATATTTGTGGAGAAAGGCATTTAAAATGCAGCCTTCTAGGAAGGAAGACAAGTGGTCTGCCTTATTTGAAGTTTCTTAAGCATTCTATTTATGTTAATAGAGGTAACCTGGGCTTTTTGGCTTGTACACCTTGGGTTATATGTCTGCAAAATAAATTTATGATGACAATTAACATGAGCAATGTTACAACTTACAAACATTTTGAAAGACAGGTATTAACTATGAGATTAAGGCCAAATTCAAGGGAAAAAAATTCTGCTCCACATATATTCCTAGAAATAGATTCTTTAGAATTACTCTTCAGTCACTGTGCTGTGGAAAACACAAGCAAGTCAAACTTCAATTTCTGCCAATTGTTTAAATTTTTTAAATCTTGACACTGGTTTTTTCTTTTAAATACTTTCACATGTGTTTCACTTATTTTAGGAAGTAATTCAATATAATCTTTAAAACTCTTAGGTTACTTTTAATAAAAAAGTAGGAGTTTTTAAATTAGCACTAGAAGGACTAAAATCTTGCATTTTTCAACATCGATACTGTTCAAAATCTCATATACACTTTGTGAAGTAATTTTTGAAAACAATAATAGATAGCTCTGAATAAAAATAGTGTCACGTGTATCATTCATACACAATGGGCTTTATTTTACTGCCAAGTACTGATAACCATTTCAAAAGGGCAAACTTCGAGTTTAAAGTTTAAAAGACTCTTTTTTTTTTTTTTTGAGACAGGGTCTGGCTCTGTTACCCAGGCTAGAGTGCAGTGGCACGATGTCACCTCACTGCAACCTCTGCCTCACAGGCTCAAGTCAGCCTCCCATCCCAGCCTCCCATCTCAGCCTCCCAAGTAGCTGGGACTCCAGGCGTGTGCCACCATGCCTGGCTATTTTTTGTATTTTTTGTAGAGATAGGTGTCTGACTATATTGCCCAGGCTGGTCTCAAACTCCTGAGCTCAAGCAATCCACCCACCTTGGCCTCCCAAAGTGCTAGGATTACAAGTGTGAGCCACCATATATGGCCTAAAAGATTATTCTGGTGAATGTTTACAATAATTTAATAAATGCTGGGATCATCACTCATTAAAAAAATTCCGTTTATTCTAATTATCTGGGCCCAGACTGTGTTCTGATGTAGTATTCTGTCAATTAAAGTAATATCAAATGTAATAGTTTGTGGATTGACCTTAATAATTTATTGTGTGACTTTAAGGAATTTTAAAAATGAGTGTTAAAACCACATTTCCTTTTATTGTAATTTTTATATTTTATATCTTTGCTGGATGATGTTCTCAGGGTTTAATCTGCTTAGCCCCTCAGTACACATATTTATCATTGACTTTATCAGATAGTATCTACTTAAGACTGTTGCAAACCTGGATCACAACTTTTAAATGATAAACAGCACAGACACCTAAGGTATGCAGCAGCAAGCTGTCATTGTAACTTCAATGCAATCTGAGTTTGTCACTTTTGGGGAATAAAATAGGACATTGAAGCCATCTCAATCAAATCTGAAGTTTTCCTAGAGATTGCCTTTGTAAAACATTTTGAGAATGTTGACTGACCCTCAGTTTATTAGGAGTCTGGCTTAAGAAACGAGCAACAGCAATGAAAGTGAGACACTAGCTTACATCCTGTTGACGTTGTACTTAGGTTTTTCGGAACCATTAAGTAGCACTGTAGCTCTCCAGTCTCACATGGTTTAACATAGTTCATGGTTGGGTCTATTTACCTTGGTTTTTAAATATGATTTTTCTTTTTTAGGGAAACTGGATTGAAATCTGCACGTTGCCAAGGGCAAGAAGCTGAGAACACGGAGAGAGAGGTAAGATCGATGTCACAGTAGGCCCCTCCTTAATTTTCTTCCTTTAAAAGCAAGGCTTTCAATCTTGACTTTTCGTTATCCGTGGATGGAAAGTATAGAAGTGAGTAGAAATGTAACCTCCTTTGTAGCACTCACCAGTAAAGAGGCTGATTAACGAGCCTAGCAGGCAATGTCGTAGCAAAAGAGAGTCTATGGAAGAGAAACAAAAGTGCCTCAGAATTCGCGAGGATTCTCATGATCCATAGTAGGACCTCATGGTGCCTGTCTGCTCTTTCTATTTTTGATTAGATTTATAAACACAGCAGCACATATTTTCATGTGGCTTATCGCCTAGGGGCAGAATCAGATTGGCTGCACTGAAACTGTGAGGCTTGTGAATTTTGGGCAAGGGCTAGAGTGAAATAAGTAGTGTAATTGTTTTTGTGGAGTGACCGTGGGACCTCCTCTGTTCTGAATTACACATGGCTCAACCCTTTGACCTGACCAGACTCTGCAAAGGCTGGCAGGACTCCTAACGCTGTGCTGAAAGGGTCGTCGCTGAACAAGCTGGAACGTTATCTGTCAGGCCAGATGTGGGCCAACAACTAGATTCAAATATATTAATTACTAGTGGGACACATTTGCGACCACTTCGACTTCACTTAACCCATCATCATATAAGTTATTATTTCAACAGGAAGTGCCAATGCGGGGAATGTTTAGAATCCAAATGTAGCACAGATCCTTTGATAAATAGATTATTAGGCTATTTTTTTTTTTAGTTGACTAAATTTTGGATCATCTTTGAGAATATTTTGCCTAATAATTCAAACATTATTATTTTGAGTCTTTTAATATCCCCAGGTTTGGGGGGAATGTCATAAGCCATGATTAAAACTCTTTCATCTCAACGAGTTTAATTCTTTCAAAATAGATGGTAATCCACTGATATAATTCCTTGAAAGAATCAAAGCTGGGGGAATGCAGAGAACTGGGAAAAGATTTGGGAGAATCATAGGTGCTGACATTTGTGCAATTGTGGAGAATTCATTCTGTGATTCACATGCTGATGAGTTGGATAAAGATGTTTATATCTATCTAGGTATGATTTTGAAGTGACGCCCTTGAATTTTTGTTTCGGATTCAGTAGCTTAAATTTTCAAAGGCAATCTAAGCAGAAATCTCAAGTTTATTTTTAGGCCCTTGACATTATTACCAAAACTAGTTCTAATTCTGGAATATGCCTCAATTTTTTTTTAATTTAGTGTCTTTCCTTGCCAATGCTACAAAGTAAAGGTCTCTGTAGGTATTTTATGTTTATACCCACATGCAAATAATTTAGCATTTAAATTTTTGCTTTCTTATCTGAGGCAACTCAGGCTGAATATTAATTTACTTCTTAGTTATATGACACTTAAAATTTTCTTTAAAGAGTACACAACTTTATATGTGTGTGTGTGTGTGTGTGTGTGTGTGTGTGTGTTTTGAATTGTATTTTTCTCTTACTCCAGGAACTCTAAACATGAAAATGGGGAGGTCCTCATCAAATCAGTTACAAAAAAAAAAAAAAAAACCACTCAAATATCCTATAAGCCCCCCAACAAAACTGTATTCAGCCCTACCCGGTCTTACTCTCATTAGCAGTGAAGGGTTTGCTCTCCACACAATCTAACATGGAATGCTTAGAGCAGACAGGTGCAAATTGCAAGCTGTTTCACTTTGGCTGTTATCCCTTGAATCGACAAAGTAATAGACTGGGAGAACAAAAAAGGTTCCAGCTCAAGCTGCATAAATGAAAGTCTTAACAGTGACACACCAGCTGGCTAGGAGAGTTCAATGTAGTGAATACTAAACATTACCTTTGTGCCACTTGCCAAGGAAAAGGGCTTCAGTGACACCCCCTCCCTTTGATGATTGAGATGATGTGCCTTCAAAATCGTATTTTGCTTTATTGTAAAGGCGATACTGTGGCCGAGGTGCATGAGAACGGGATCCAACATACCTGTTCCTGTAATGTTGCCATCATTACACTCCTCCGAGCGATTCAGGCATGATTAGGTTCCTGGAGTGGGACCAGATTGACAGTATTTCTATCCATGTCTTTTTTGGCTGATCCAAGCAAAGCCCCAGAGCAGTGAAACAAGAAAACACAATCACTAGCACCCCCGCCTCCCCAGCAAGATGAATCTGCTGAGCTAGGCTGCTGAAAAAAACAGTCGTTCATATTAGGAACACCTAATTTCATTTCATGGAAGAGCCATGCCACGCCGCCGGTATGCGTAGGAATCTAAGGTATGCGTATCCAAAAAGGGACCCTAACTCTGTCATCCCAAAGTTGCTTCTCTTTGTGACTTCCCAGTGTGCACAGGAACTGTTGTCTGCAAGAAGCAACTTTCACTTGAGCTCTGAGGCCACCGACTTGGTCTGACCCGGCAGATAAGGGTAGGAAGAAAACTGGAGCTGGCCTTGTTTACAGCCGGACAGAAGAAAACAGCCAGACACAAATGAGGGGTGACGGTTTCATGAAGCACAATTGGTTGATCCCAGATGCAATCTGACTGCCCTGAACTGAGCGATGATCCGTACAGTATGCAGAATTCACTTTCTTGCTGGTCTGTGCCCACCAGCCTTGGAGGAATGCTCCCCGCGCCCCTCAGCCATGGCTTTGAGTGCAACCAGAGCTGAACAACTGTACCGCGGGACCCGATTCCTTCTGACAACAATCACATTCTTTTAAAAACTTCATACGTTTTGGTTGTCACTGGTTATAAATGAGTTTGTTGTTGTTCATGTTTGCTACTCTATTGTAGATTTCCTTTCAAGTTAAGAGTGTCCGCATCAAAAGGTATTTGTTGCTTTTTAAGGAAAAGGAAATTATTATCAGAAACTGTCAGTTCTTAAAAATTTCAGGTTTTCAGGTTTTTTTCTGTTCAAATCACAAAATATTGTTTCTTCCACATTATTGAATATATGTAATAGGGTAACATTACTAAAATTATTGAAAGGAACTGATTTAGCACCACTTAAACACACATATAAATACGTTACTTTTCAGTTATTCAAGATGAGTAAGTTCTAGGGATCCGTGGTCCGGCATCGTGCTGACAGTTAACACTGCAGTGATGAAACTTGCATTAAGAGGGTGGATCTCATGTTATCTGCTCTTATTGCAATAAAAAATGCTTTAGAAGTGTTTCCCTTTAGACAGTAACTTTGCGTTATAGCCGCTAAACAGAAGCACAAAGGCGGAAGCCACAAAGCCTATCCATAGTAGATTTATTAATAGTTAAGATTTCTAGAGATTTTGCTGATCTCCAAAACTGAATAGATATCATTGAGAAGCAGGAAGATGCTGGTGATGAAATTTTATTTTTTTAATTTAATTTTTGACATACATTATAGGAATTTAGTAAGTTAATATGAACTTATTAAAATGCTAACATTCGCCTAAATACACTAAGTTAACTACTGGTAATGAATGAATTGATGTAAAATATGAGTGAAGGATGATTTTGCATGAGCTAGAGAGATAAAAATCTCATCAGGAAAGAGAGACTCTCAATTGAGAAGGGGGTGGAGGAAATGCAATTTACACCACTTAAATGTGCCCATGTGTAAAGGAGAGAAAACGGTGAGGAAATTGGCAAAAGAGAGAAGTCGGAAATCACTCCTAATTTCCTCTTGAACATATGTTAGTAGTAAAGAGGTCACAAAATACAAACCACCGCTTGGTGATCCTCTCAAAGAATTCATCTCTGGTGTGTACAGTCAGACGTTGCTTTCCTTTTGAATACGGGAACTTGTGAAAATATGTTTGAGACCTTTATAACATTGAGAGCAAGTCCATAATTTCATTTGAAGTCCTTAGTAAGGAAATGAGGTCTATTAATAGGCCACATCCATCTATTTAAAAGCATGTTTAACTCGGTCTGAAAGGAGTGAAGTGCCAAAATTACTGAACCATGTCAAGAAAACTAGTATCTGCTGTTTCCTCAGCTGAAGGCTGTGAAAAAAACAGACTTCAACCTCTTTCTTAATAAAATGAAGGAAAATTTAGTGCAGTTGTGAACTACTCTTTTAAAAAGTTTACCAAGTTTTTAATGCATGTAGTTTATTTATTTATTTATTTATTTATTTATTTATTTATTGAGACGGAGTCTCGCTCTGTCACCCAGGCTGGAGTGCAGTGGCGCAATCTCGGCTCACTGCAAGTTCCACCTCTTGGGTTCACACCATTCTTCTGCCTCAGCCTGTAGCTGGGACTACAGGCGCCCGCCACCA